ATGTTATGTAATCGCTTTTAATGGCCAGAGTTAAATGAGTGTGGCCTGAATTATGTGTTGAATAAAAGATGAGCATCCTGTACAGTTGTTCTCGTAAGGCAAATGGATTAAAATGTCAAGCCAGCATTTAAGGTCACTATTTCTCTACAGAGTTACTCACGGCACAGTTTCCCTGCTCGGCTCGCAGAGGAGCAGCTTTTCACAATAAAAGTACAACTGCTGCTACTCTGATATATGTTTCCAGACAAGCAAACCACCAAACCCCAACAACAAAATGGTTTTCCTGTTTAAGCAATGAAAATGTAAACAACCTAAAGCCAGCCGTGTGTCCAAAGGGTCAGACATGGTGCATTTTCCCCCCAGAAAACTGACTCTTGCTGCTTTTTTTTCTTTGTGCCATCATAGAGGTGGTTATGTGGGAAAATGTCAGCAGATCAGCAGGTTCTGAAATACTCAGACCAGGCTGTCTGGCACCAGTCATCATGCCACACTCCAACTGATGCTCAGTTATAACTTCAGTAAGTCGTCTTGACCATGTCCACATAAATGCATTCAGTTGCTGTCTTGTGATTGGCTGATTAGATATTTGCATTAATGACCAAACAAAAACTACCTCTGTAGACTTGATGTGGCGCAAAATAAAACGAGGACATCACATTTTCAGATGTTTGGCCTTGGTTGCATGCTGAAATATCGCTTTCCATGACATATTCTACAGACACAGGTTTACTGTGACACTTACCTTTCGTGCAACAGCAAAAACCAGAATGGCAAAACGAATTCGTGCTCTTTGTTAAACTGTTGGTGCAGGGGACATGCTGACTACTGTACTGCTGGGTTTTGCAAGAGTGTCTGTCTATTGTGGGTTGTGTGAAATTGTATCAGCACAGCAAAGAGGGTAAGGTAAAATTTGATGGAATGAAGCTACTAATAAAATGGCATTCTCCATCTGTGGCTCCCCAGGTCCACATTCCCTCAAAGGTCAGTGCTGTCAGCGTGGTTTACGGTTTAAAAAAAGGAAGATTGTACTTGTTAAAATGCAGTTGTTGAGTTTTTAATATGAACTCAAGGGAAAGCACTTTGTAATTTTACATTACCTGTCTGATAACAGTGATTCTGTTTGCAATGAAGTGGTTTATATCCAGAATTTGCTGGTGAAAATTAAAATATGAGTCCAGTTTAATGACACTGTCTATGTTAGGAGTGTGTGAACAGCAGTACACCTTCTTTCTCCACCACACCCCTTGTTTCTCTTGTGTGAAAGCTCTGAATGCTGTTTGTTGGGATTTTATCGAAGATTTTGGTCTTTGTCTTGCATTTGAAAACAGTAAAAATGTAGGAGCTGCTGCTGACAGACCTGCAAGGACCTGCAGTTCCTCTAATGCCCACTTGAACCTGGATTCGAAAGTGAGTCAGTCTTCATAGACTCCCAGCAGAAATAAGCATGTTTACAGCTTATGGCAAACATCAGTTTTGGTCTCTAGCTAGTTTGTCTTTATAGGAACTGTATCCGGGATGATTTTTGTATTTCTAAGTTCAATTCAATTCAATTCAGGTGGCTGCTAGCTGAGCATGTTTGTACTGTTGGTGCCTTTTGGAAGTATTTTTAATGCAACAATCTGACAAATAACACGACTGTGCATTCAATTGTTTTAAAAGATTGTCAAAAAACGCTGTGTTCCAGATTTGGTGAGTGAAATTCTAGAATTTTCTACAACATTCTTGTCACATTTCTGAAGAGAGGACCCAAAAGCAGACAGAATTTGATCTTAACAAAATGCAAGCTGTTTATTAAGGGCTGATAGAAGATCAGACAATGATACAAAAATAAAGGGCAATGAAGGCTTACACTAACCAAAACTAGACTGGGAAAATCCACTGTGAATATGGGGGGAGGTGAACTGATGTTCTGCCAAAAGACAAAGAAGAACTGACACAATATACACAGACAGGTGATTAGTACAGTAGAGACGGCTGGGAAACACAGCTGGAACAATTAGACACAGAGCCAGGGGAAGCAAAACTAAACACAAGCATATGAGCCAAGGACTATCAAAATAAGACAGAAAACCCACTGAGACGTAGACTAAGACACACAACTTGACGTGGGAAGACAATAGGACACATGGAAGACTGACATGGTAGAGGAGAAAGATGGAGAGAGCGAGGCATACATGAACAGAAGGAAGAACCAACATGACACATAGAGGGAATAAAGAGAGACATGACAGAGGACATAAATAAAGCACATGACTGACTCTCAGAGGAGACGCAGGGATGAGACAAAGACACAAAAGGAACTTAACAGACAGGAACAATGAATCTGAAATACAAATAAACTCAGAGAGACTAAAAGAACTAAACTCAAGACTAAACTGTACAAAGCTTGAACTTAAATCATCATCATCATACAGATAAACCCTAAACGCTGGGTCACCCAGGACCATGACGCTTCTAGGACAGATGGCAGTGGCAAAGCTATAGTTGAGGCTTCAGTCTGGTACTTTACAAATCAGCGGGTCCCTGTGGCTAATCCATGTGTTTGTATAACACTTATCTACTTGGCACCAACATTATGTTATTTTTTTAAGGGTTTGTTTGATTCCTCAAGCTCACAGATATTTCTAAGCTATGTTCTTCAGTGAGTCCTCTTGTTTAGAAGAGGAATGGTAAAGGTTAAATACATTAATTCCATCGTCAGGAGGGACTGCTGTATCCTCAAACCACAGCTAAAGTTAAGAAGTGCTTGTTTTCCTCCTGCAGACTTGCATTAAAAGCTTTTGAGCTTGTTATGACGGATACTTTTGTTCTCAAGCGTGTCTGGCACAAAGGAACACCCGAAGTACTTCATGTGATGACGTTAAAGTGTATTAATGTACTTGGAAATGGCTTGTGGTCAGATCTAAGTGTTGAATAACTGCTCAGCAAACTGTGTTTGCTGTAATGGTTATGGTTTTACCACCTCCCGCTCAGACTCTGTCTAACCACGCCAAAACACACAATCTGAGTTTGATGAGTTTATTGATCGTGCTGTAGCACAGACAGACAGAAGTGAGTGGGAGGTGAGCACAAACTTCCACCGACACAAAACAGTCAGGACGAGTTGACGGAGCTCACCTGAATCCTGATGAAGTTTGAACATTTCAAGTTTTTATGAGGAGCTAGCTTATTGTAGCACAAATGTGTGCAGATTAATCATGCAGCTCATTGGTTTTTGTGACCTCAGTTCTCATGGTTACCTGACAAAAGTGATTTCAAAATGATTAACTAATGTTGTGCAGTATCAAAAATAATTAAATAAATAAATAAACATGACACAGAGGTGGAATATAAGAGACCGATGTAGATGTCGTGTCACCACATGTTGATTTTTGGAATGTTATGATTTTAAATGAACATATTTAATCTATTTTCAAGTGGAATTTAATCTTTATTTTTACAAGTAGTCCCACTGAAACCCAATGTCTCATTTGCAAGAGAGAGCTGTTCCAGACAAACATTAAAATTACTATAATATGTCTAATGTAGTGAGATAGGAATCCAAATCCATGATCCAGTAAGAAGTTCTATTGAACAGATATAAAAAAACAAACCTGTGCAGAGAATAGGCAGGATAAGTGTGTCCAAACAGAAGGAAGAAAGAACTAAACTGAGGTCCATGGAAACAAACAGGGAACAGGTTAGAAACCAGGACAAACATGATGGTGAACAACAGACTCAAACAAAACAAAGGAGAAGACATTCATATACTTGGAGGACAGAGGGGTGGAGACCGGCGGGGAACAAAACACAGGTGGAGATGATCAAAACAATAAAACTCAAAACAAGAAGAAAGAGAAAATTCAATCAAATCAAAAGCAAAACAGGAAAAACGCAAATGAGCAGACATAAATGAAACAAAGAAAACATGGAAACATAAAGGACATGCTAAACATAGATGACCTCTGTCAGGAAGAGTGACCACACCCCTAATACTAGTATCCAGGTGGCGTTATAATAAAATTCACGGAGGTAAGAGTCGTCATGAAATGAGAAACTATGCATAGGTGACAAAGCCATTTTTGTATCAGATTGTAACCTGTTTATTTCTGCTGTAACATTAACATGGCAGTCTGTGGGCATTGAGTCACTGCTGGTGTTTCAAGTGGACTTTAGAGAAATTGCAGTTTTTTGGCACTTCCTTGTTTGCTTCATTTTTCCAACCTGTAAGTTGCTGCATGCTGAAACTGAGCATTTAGAGAAGCATGAAGTTTTGGCTCATAGGGCTTATTTCTGTGTATTCTGACGTCATCATGTAACAGTTTCACATATTTACTATCAGCATCCATCATTTTAACAGTACAGTGTATGGCAGGAAATTAAGAACAGCAGAGCAGGTCCACTTTAGGGTTCGGGGAAATCAACCTCGACTGATGACAAGCACCAAAAATATTCTGACATGCCACATTAGGAATAAGACTGGTCTAAATTACAAAATAAATGGTCCCTGAATTCCATTTAGCAGCGTCAACATCACCATTTCCCTCCAACAGGAGACGACACAACACATTCTTAAAAATATCTCATACTTTAGCACAATTACAAACCCAGTTTTTATACAGTCTGACGTTTGTTTTTCCTCTGTGAACACATGGCTGAAACTAGCTTCACAAAAAAGTTTAATATTCTTTCTGCAAAGGTTTGTCTCTTGCTGTAAAGGTCTCGCAAGCCTTAAGTACAGTATCATCCTTCACTGTATTATTCATCCTCATTACATCTCAGCTAGTGCAGTCTCTATCAGGTAAGAACGATGAAGAGGAGTTCCTGTGCAGTGCACACAGGAGGAAGAGGGACATGTCAGCGAACGCCCACGTAGTCCTGAGGAGAAGCCTGATCAACATGATGACTGAAAACACCTGTGTGGCTCAGTAGGGGGGGGAAGGGGGTGAGGAAGAGGAGAATTCTCCAAAAGCTAGTTTCAGATTTAAATCTCACCTTCTTCCTTTTTTTTAAAATTTTAGACAACTTCTACAAGGTGGAGGGAGCCAAGGATGCCTTAATCTGTGGGAACAGCAGCGACGCAGGGTGAGTCAACAGTTTCTCTTGTTCCGCTGTGAAGGTGGGAGACGTGGATTTGCCTGGGTGTGATTTGATTCTGAAGTTCATGGTTACACTGAGTGTGATTACAAACCACTGAACCAGTCAGGGCCACTCACCCTGAGCCTGGTAACGCCTGAAGTTTAAAAGAGAGTTTTAACAAACAGTTGTTTGGTTTCCCTCTGTAACCACTTGGGGGTTACAAAGATGTTCCCCTTGTTGGTTTGCCAGTCATAGCAGATAAATGTAGCACAGTTTCAAGATGTTCTGAGGAGCGATGCGTTACTTCAGACAGAGCCTTGGGAAGAAGCTCCATGGAGGGGGGGGGGGGATGCTGTGGAGATGATGTAACATGTGTTGGGTTGTAATTTTTTCACAACCCATATGAAGAAGAGCAGTATGAATAATAAATGCTGTGAAATGTTTTCTGATATGAAGATGGATAAATATAATATTGTTGTATGAAAGCATAATCATCTCTGAAAACATCCAGAAAATATAGGCTGCATACATGCATATGGTGACCGACCACTGACTCACAGCAAAGCTGGATTGGAGCAATAAATGTCAGCAATGAAACAGTGACACTGACACTGTAATTTACTCAGAAAGTTGACATGCGGAGACAACAGCACACAAATGAGGACTCCCTCATTGGTTTAATATCCAACGACTCTGTTGTTTACCAGCAGAGCAAACACAGCTCTGCGATGGCTAATGAGAAAGTCAGATTTACAGAATATCTGAATGGTCAGGTCCTTAACACTTATTTTCACACATTAGGTAAGAACTGTTGGATTATTGCCCAAAATTCAGTAACAAGCTGTGTGTGTTTGGTGGCAGGACATGATAAGATAAGATAACCTTTATTAGTCCCACGCGTGGGAAATGTTTGTTACAGCAGTGGACAGTGCAAAGTTGCATAGAAAAATTAGAGAAAAGCACTGGAATAAGATATCAATAAGATATTGTACACAATAGGATAGAATAAAATTAAATAAAATACTATATACAATTGATTAGAATAAAATAGAATACAAATGCTATATAAATATGAGGATAATACAACATTGCCAGAAAGAGTATTGCACTTATTACTATTGCACATGTGTGGATGTGTTTGATCAGTTAAAGTCTTTGTTGTGGAGTCTGACAGCCGTGGGGAGGAAAGACCTGCGAAATCTCTCCGTCCCACACCGTGGGTGCCGCAGCCACTGAAGGAGCTGCTCAGTGCTGTCACAGTCTGCTGCATGGGGTGGGAGATGTTGTCCAACAGGGATGACAGCTTAGCCGCCGTTCTCCTGTCACTCACCACCTCCACTGGGTCCAGAGGGCATCCTAGAACAGAGCTGGCCCTTCGGATCGACCTGTTCAGTCTCTTCCTGTCCCCAGCAGAGATGCTGCCGCACCAGCAGACCACACCGTAAAAGCAGGCTGAGGCCACCACAGAGTCATAGAAGGTCTTCAGGAGTGGGCCCTCCACTCCAAAAGACCTGAGTCTCTGCAGCAGGTACAGCCTGCTCTGCCCTCTCCTGTAGAGGGCGTCTGAGTTATGAGTCCAGTCCAGTTTGTTGTTCAGATGAACACCAAGGTACCTGTAGCTGTCCACAGTCTCAATGTCCATACCTTGGATGTTCAGTGGTTGCAGTGGAGGATGTTTGTGCCTGTGGAAGTCTACCACCAGCTCCTTGGTTTTATTAGTGTTGATCTGGAGGTAGTTCTGCTGGCACCTGTCCACAATGTCTTGGGTCAGTTCTCTGTAACCCTGTCGTCCACATCAGTGATGAGGCCGACTATTACAGAGTCGTCAGAGAACTTCTGCAGGAAGCACTGGATGGAGTTGTGGGAGACGTCTGCAGTGTAGATGGTGAAGAGGAATGGAGCCAGGACCGTTCCCTGTGGGGCCCCCGTACTGCAGACGACCCTGTCCGACACACAGCCCTGATTCCTCACATACTGTGGTCGGTCAGTGAGGTAGTCCAGAATCCATGTTGTGAGGTGATGGTCCACTCCTGAGTTCTCCAGCTTGTCCTTCAGGACCGTGGGAAGAATGGTGTTAAAGGCACTGGAGAAATCAAAGAACATGATTCTCACAGTGCTCCCAGCGGTCTCCAGGTGAGCGAGGGAACAATGCACGAGGTGAATGATGCCATCATCCGCTCCAATGCCAGGCTGGTAGGCAAACTGAAGTGGGTCCAGTGATGAGCCCACCAGGCGCCAAAGCTGAGTCAGAACCAGCCGCTCCAGGGTCTTCATCAGGTGGAATGTCAGAGCCACCGGTAGCATCACGCTCGTGTCCGGAGTTAGCGATGTTAGCCAGGACTCCGTTAGCAAAACAATGCTACATCGTTGGTATTCCCCCTGTGACCAGGTTAGCAACGTGAGCTCATCCATCTTATTGGGCAGCGATGTTACATTTCCAGTGATTACAGAAGGGAGAGATGGTCTCCTTCTCGGGCAACAGCGCTCCCTCCCAGCACAACACCCACGTCTTTTCTTCCTCAGCTCACTGGGAATGGCGTGTCTGTCCGCCGGCAGCACTGCTGTGGGACGCAGCGCTAACAGCTGATCCCTGCTGTAAACAAAGCATCCATGTGCTGGGTTCCCAAACACGGGTAAAAAATGGTGTGAAAAAAAAGAGAAAGACAACCAAGACTAGCACAAAACGGTAGTCCATGATTGCAGAATCTAATTGCTTAAACTTTAGTTACAAAAAATTAAGAGAAAGTAAAGAGGAGATACGAAAGAAGCTCAGAATGAGCGGAGCTGCCACTCACGGGGGGCACCGGAAGTCGGAAAGACTTCACTTCCTGATAATGATAAATTGGTCTTACCTTTATCCAGTTGCTAGCGTAGTAAGGTCCCAGTCACACAGACTCGGGGACAATATTTTTCTCCTACCTTGCAGCTGCTGGTTTCTGAGAAAAAAACACAAACTGGAAACTGAGACCGTTTGGTTTCAAAGTGAAACTTGTGCCTTAGCTCTAAACTTTTACTTTGAAAGGCCTCTATTCCAGCTTGCATCATACTTTTTCAAATTTCACTAGCACTTGGCTCATTTGCAGGTCCCTAACACCTGAAACACTCCCAAAGAGGTTTTGGGGGCAACACCCTCTTTGTGGGGAATTCATCTGGTGACTGCCGTCAACCTCAAGCAATCATTTGCCAAGAAATCAAGATTTTTTTCTCTCTGGGCCTGTATGATTGGGGCATAAGCATTATAGCTCACCGGGGTATCCTCATGTGAGGGTGGTAGCAGTCTGGTGTCAGGGGGTAGTCTTAAGTGGATTTATCCCAAAACTGTAGTTTGTGTTTTGTTCCAGGTGTTTGGTTAAAGTTGGAGCACAAGTTGGTTTGGCTCAGGAAATATTACAGTTGGCGCACTAGGTCATTAGGGTCATTTCAATAAGTGCTGATTGGCACTTTTTAGAAGTCAGTAGCATTTTTGCTTGCTGTGTTGATGGGCTTCATTGTTGGTGTATGCAGTTGCAAGATGGTCTCTTGTTTATATAATTTTTTTCCAGTGGTGTGGGTGCCTGAACTGAAGGGACACAGCGTACGCTGCTGTGAGCGGCGTACACATCACAATCATGGGCTAGGCTTTGGTGAGGTGGCGACGGATCAGGCTTTATGACATTTATCTATATTCATTGTTTCCCATATGTTTATTATTACTATTATTATTATTATTTGTAAATGTATGCCTTTGTTTGCTTGTCACATTAAAAGTCCCACTTTAACTATGTGCAAAATCATCCATCACCCCCAGTATATGACCTTCGGCTGCAGTTTCCAGCTTTCTGCATCCTGAGGTTCAGCTGAGCTTGGGGCTAAAAATGCATGTGTGAAAAGCTTTGGCTTCATCACGACGAAGAGCTGAAAACATCAATCTCTCTTTACTTTCCTGTCAATCATGCAGCATAGCAGTTTGTCCCTCACAACCTTTAGTTATCACTTTATTGAATGTTCTTCACATTCGAATCTGTCTGATGATTTTTCATACTTTGGCTGACTGTTTCGAGCTGTTTGAGGATGTAAACAACAAAGAGGGAATGAGATTGGGCTTCATTTTGTTCCCGTCTCACCTGAGAGTCCAAATAAACAGCAGGCTGAGTCTTTAGTTCTGCAAATACTTTTCTCAGACGGAGGCAGAAATGATCTGCTGGTGGGGTTAAACTTCAGTGGAAGGAGACAAAATGCAAAGATTTTCTCACTAAACTGTCCTTAGCTAAAGTAAAAACGTGCTCGGTGGCAGTAGACACTCCCTCTTTAGAAACATTTATGCTTTTGCAGAACCCGTGCATGTTAGCTTATAGTAACTTCATCATCCTGCTATGAATGCATCTTAAATTACCTCCTATTTTCTGTCATTTGGCTCCAGACCGCATTCTCATATTTTAAAGTTGAATCTTTGACTTATTTCTTCCTCTTGCACTTTGAGACCTCAGTGAGAAATTCTGCTTTTTGACTGAAGATGGATGGAGGCTGATAGAAACATGTTAGCTACTGCATGTGGAGTAGGCTTTTCTGGGCACCACAGAAAGAAAATCACCAGTTTGCAAAGGAAATGGAAAGAAACAACCAATCTCTCCATTACCAACAGTTATATTTTAGGTCTCATTTCACTCATACACAATATCTGCTTGTTTTACTGTTTCTCTTCCAATATGGGAAAGGTTGTTGGATAAACTCATTAGAGCAATGTTGTCGCGTCAGCTGTAGCTCCTGCTGAACTTTCTGGCTCCATTTTTGGCCTTTTTCTTGTTTAAAATAAAATGACCTAAAGTCTAAAGTGAAATCTCATGTTTGTAATTTCCAAACCTTTCATTAGTTGCTAATAATTACTGAAGTTGTGTGTGATACCTCCAAGTCTCAATGTGTCCTTAGTCGAGACTCCTTGGGACTCAGAAGTGACCATATTTAGACAAGAGGCTGGACTGTGAAGCTACCAGCTAATGCAAGCAAGCTGCATTAGCTGGTACTGATCA